AATTTTTTAAATTAATTTTTATGTTATAAAGGAATGCATAGCAAAATAATTGGTAGTTTGTGTCCTATCATGTCCAATTTATTTCATCTATGTCACCGGATATGGATGTGTCCGACTTACTTAAGAAACCAAGCCCGGATCACTTCATCTTTTCCGTATTTTCTTATCGATGTCGTCGTAAATATCGAATGTAATTCTTCGACTGCCACATTGTCCATAAATGGATCCGTTGAAATACCAAGCAGTGGATATTCTCTAGTCTTGCAGGAGTCGTGTTATAAGAGCTGCGTTCTCTTGTGTCACGTCATCCGTTACTCTAACCTTGACTTCATTCTGTGAATTTAGGCCTTTACTGTCAGGTCGTTGCTTCATCACCTTTATTTTGGCTTCACTGCTTTTTAACTTGATTATAATGGGTTGGGGTTGGTCTTTCTTCCTAGGAATTCTGTGCATTGCTAAAATGTCATTTTTTCAATCTTTTCACCTACTTCCTCGAGGACTTCATTAAGAACTTGTAAGAGTTCCTCCCCTTACCTATCTTGAAAAACATGGAATTTTATATTATTCTTCCTAGAATATTGTTCATTATAATTTGCTTTAAAGACTGCTGATTTTGTCATCCATTCGTTTTCTTTTGTTCTGTTACACAAGTCATTTAACGCATCTTCTTGATTTCTAATTTCTTTCTGCAAGTCTTTGTTTTCTTGATGTAATTTCTCGTTCTCTTCCCCTAGTTTTGCTTTCGATCTTCTCTTGATAACTACTAAATAATTCTTCTACTACACTTCTAACAATTGTTTGAATATCACTGACCTTTATTGTCTTTTTAAGTTCTTTGTTAATTTCGGTCATTTTGAATTGAACCCATTGTTTTTTTGCATGGAATTTTCCTTCGTAAATTTTGGGGAGGATTCAGAGGGGAGAATTCCCCTTTGGCTGTCCTTTTGACTGACTTTTGGAGATTTACTAGTAACTAGACTCGCACCTTTACGAGTAGTAACACCAACAGTAGGCATCTTCAAATATTTGTTAATAGTATTCATGTTCTGCCTATGTACTGGTTACAAATAGATTTTACTCACTTCAATCGCTTCGATCTAATTCTTTGAAAATGCCACTTTTAGATTATACTTTAAGAAACCACTGCATGTACCAGCCCTCACCAAGCCTGTATCAGTCCCACAAAAACTTGTCAACTCGGCCGCTTCACGCTTCCCCACTCAAGAGCTCCACAAAAGTAAAGTGCGATATTAGTTTCGCTCCCTTGACTTCGCACCTTCATACTCTCGCCTTCGCATCTTCGCGCTTTGTCGTCGCATCTTTGCACTTTTGCTCATTCGCCTTCACAACTTCGCCATCGCAACTTCAACATTGCACTCTCGCATCTTTGCCCTAAAGCCGAGATAAGGAGCTTTACTAATGAATTTTTCTACACAGTGTTTTTTAAATTTAAGTTAATTGGCATTTAGAATAGGCTTGTAGACAGAAATTATATATTAGATGTTGTTACAAAACACTCTGAGGTGAACTTGATAGAAAAGACAATTGACTCTGTAAATATTGAATATCCTATGCTTTAATAATTTTAAGGTACTTTATAATTGTACTGCAAACCTACACTGTATATAGTAAAAACCTCATCTTCAATATTTACAATCCAGCTGTCATCATTTGCAATCATGCTTTCGTAATATTTTTTTCGAAAACAATTGATCTTGGTTTTATTATTTTTTTCCTTTCATTCTAATTTGTAGGGGAATCTATTCGATTACAGATACTTCACAGTTATTTAATGTCTGAACGGTCAATGGACCAGAATATTTTCCCCACGGTTTTGGGAACAGCTCAATGTGTTCTATTGCCAAAGGCCTGTGTATTTGGGCAATGCCAGTTCAATAGATCGCATGTCCGAAATTTGCAAACTATTGACTGGCGGTCAATAGATCGCCGGTCCAAAGGCGCAGACTATTGACCGGTGTCGCATAATATTTGGTCCGCCTCGTTTAAAGGTCCGGGGGGACCTAATGCGATAACATATAAGGTCCGCCTTTTATAAGAAAAGGTCCGGCCCGTATAAGAAAAGGTCAACCGAAGTTTTTAAGGTCCGGGTGGTGCAAAATGTTTTAATCTTGACTTAAACACATAAAATTAAATTAAAGAGAGTTTGTTTACATCATATGTAGAAAGAAGGATTTACCCTAGCTGTTGTGTTTATTTTTTGTACAATATATCTCTTAGGGCAGGAATTCCTACTCCTTGTTAGTGTGCTTTTAGCAATGCCGTTTAGAACAATGATTTTTTTTTTAAAGAAAATATGCCATTTATTGGGCTTGTGTTTGTTTTTCCCCAGGATTTGTTTTTTGTGAATTAGGACGATTAAAGGTGTGAAATCTGCTGGTGTGTATAGGCAATAAATCAATGAGGTGTGTGAAGTATTCGTATACCTGACAGGTACCCGCAGGTAGAGCCCGCGGTAGATAGTGCTCAATGACAATGTAATGGTCATGTGTTTGCATTAAATCAATAGATATGAATTCTTTATTTTAATAAATTAGTGTAATTTTAAATCAAAAATATATTTCTTTCAAAAAGCGCTGATTATTTATTTTATTCTTTTATGGAAAGTGGCAATTCACGGTTATCCGGAGAAAAAAATGTAATTCATGGGTTTTTCCACTTATAAAACTGACTGATCATGAGAGTCCAAGCTCCAGACAGCTCAGTATTACGTTACGCGGTCCGATAGATCACTCTGAAGTTCCTTTTATAGTTCAAAGGAATGAATATACAGAGAAAATATTCAAAATACACTATTTAATAAAACAACAAAATTAATTGTATTAGGTAATGCACTAAATTCATATTGGTTCTTATGTTTGCTATTATTCTTTTCTTTTCTAAAAAAAGTAAGATACCCGCATTAAATAACATTCCACCGTAAATCATATCTCGATACGAAACATTTCATACAATGGACCAGCTCCTGTCAGATACCAATGAAACTGTCCGAATTGCCCTTTAAATATGACAGAGTTTGAATGTCCTAAAGAAAAGGACGATTTAGGTATCTACTGAGCTATACTTAGTGTTATTACACCCCTGTGGTCTATCAGACGCGCCTTTATGCTTCTTCATAATAGATCAAAAGATGTCGGCTCTTATCAATCAAGTTTATGTGATACGTCATTTAAATGGTTTAACAATTAATTAACCTAATTAAATCTATCGCACTTAAAGCACACCACTGGCAGATCTCTTTATGACTGGAGACCATATGCTTTGGTAAGTACTTCGCCTAGATGAAATTTTATTAATTATTAAATTAAATTCTCAACTTGACAAAAAATGAATAAGAAAAACATGGACACTTTTCTACAATCAAATGGGGATTTACATTTTCGACTAAGGGGTTATACAAAACTAGAGTGTTCCAACGATCGCATTTGTCGCCTGCTTTGTCGCTTCATTAAAGATGTAATTAAATCTAAGAGTGGTCAGATATTTATCTACAAATGATAGTTCATGCATTTGCCTAAAAAAAAATCCATGGAGAGTATAAGACGGCGATAGAATCTGACAATCAAAGAAAGTATGGTTCCCAAACCCTCAAATGAATAATTAAATAATTTGAAATAATTATCTGTTATTATTTTATTAATACGCGTCTCCAACAATCCTCCATCAGATACTTCAGTCTGTCTTTACTGTAATTGTCAGTCTACACGATCCATTGTGGAATACCGATCCCGATGTATATTCATAGTATCTAAAGAAGATGGGTGAACATGACGAGCGAAAAGCCTATAGTGTGACAAACATGAAGGTGAAAAATTAAATCTCAATTATATCAAAATTTTCCTTGATATTTCATCTAACATTAAAATATACTTTATGTAAAATCTCTACAATTTGCAAAAATCTTACAAAGATTGAAATTATTTGCTTATGAAATATTGTACACGCACTAAAGAGGGCAAAAAGAGTCATTTTCTCATACTATAACACTATTTTTCGATATGAGTGGGTCTTCGTTCCATTTTTTTAAAAGTTAATCCTCGAAGTTTGCATAAAAATATACATTTTTTGGTTTCCTAAAATATGGAGCAAAGACCCACTATACCTTAAAAATATACTTTTATGACATATCATTCGCATCTTTTCGAGAAATACTTGAAGTCCATTAAGTCAGGGGGTCATATCACAAACATGATTTAAATGCCACTATTTATCAGATCTTGCGTAGTCTAGTGGTTAGCGTGCTAGTCTCGAAAGAAAATGATACTCAGGATTTTTATTGCTAGGGTTCGAACCCCCATGAATATCACATCATTCTTTTTAATAAAAGAATAAATTTTCCGAGAAAATTTCCCTCAGAAAAGTTTTGTTCATCATAATTTCATACATTTCAATAATGAGAACTTTACTCTAAATACTGAATTCACAAACTGAACATGATTTTTTTTATATATTTGAAGCTTTTTTTTTTGGTTGTTGTTTGTTTGTTTTTGTTTTTGGCAAAGTAGGAAAAAATGTCATATTTGACATGTAATATGTAATATATATGTAATATGTAATATCTTATGACAAAAAGAGCACATGCTAAATAGCATAGACTTGCCTCTTAAATACCAAAAATATGATGTATATCGGCACTATGAACTATTTTGAAAATTAAGTCAAAGGTCAAGGGTCACGAGATTGGAAACCATGGTAATTTACAAAATTCATAGTGCCAAGGAATGTATGTGCAAAATATCAAATCCATACTTTTACAGCTCTCGAGATATTAGAAGTGACACACAGACAGACAGATGCCGGGTAGAGTGATCCCTAAGTATCACTCTGCTCTGCAGGCGACATAAAAATGAACGACTACATATGAATAATTACAATATGTTTGCTTTTATTTTGATTTTAAACCTACAGAGCAAAAACATGCTTTAAGAAGTGATATAGATACATCATCAACTGATTAAAAACCTGTAATTGTAGGTGGTGAAATGGCATTTATGCCTAAGGTAGTTGCTGCGGTGGACTTCGGAGGGACTTGTATAGGTTATTGCTATACGTTTTTACGGGAAAACGCGAAAGGGTTGCACTTCCCCGAATGGGGGCCACACTGTTCCAGTAAAACAAAATCCTGTGTTCTCTTAAGCCCCGACAGACAGCTCCATTCCCTTGGTAACGAAGCGGATCGAAAATTCTTGGAATTACTGAAATCTGGTGAATCACCAGCCTGGTTTTACTGCGAAAACATCAGAAATATTCTCACAGAAACTAAGGTAAAATATACGTGTATTAATATTTCATGAACATGTCCCGCAAGAACTTTTTGTCGCTATATCTCTAGAAATTGATGTGTGGTTAAATGAATGACAGGTCCATTTTGAGCTTTTTAGCTCACCTGCGCTGAAGGCTCAAGTGAGCTTTTCTGATCAAACTGAAAGAGTGTCCGGCGTCCGTCTGTCGTCCGTCGTCTGAAAACTTTTCACATTTTCGACTTCTCAAGAAACACTGGGACAATTTCAACCAAACTTGCCACAAAGCATCCTTGGGTGAAGGCCGAAGGGGATTCAAGTTTTTTCACAGGAAGTGTCGCACCCTCTTTCAAGGGGAGATAATTAAGAATTCGTGAAAATTTGGTGGCATCTTTTAAAATTCTTCTTCTCAACAACCACTTGGAAAGAAATGATGAACCTTATGTGAAAGCTTCATTACATAACTGGACCACAAAAGGGGGTCAAAGTTTTACATAGGAATATACAGTGCTACCTCGGTATATTGCCAACATTTGTCCAAGACAGACTTTGGCATTAAAGCGAGGGTGGTAATATAGCGAATTCTGCCATTAATTACAATTCAGTGGGTAATCAAAACAAAATAAATAGGTAATGTAATTTATTTCAGCTACAATCTATTTATGTCACGTGTTTAAGGGAAGCTCTCATTTCTTTTGGAAAAAAATCATTATTGTATTATTTTTTGTTTACAATATTTTGACTGAAAAGAAATATAATATCAAAATATTGAACACATCAATTTCCTTACGTCATGCTCTAAGAATTTAATAACCCGATGACAAAGATATCAGTGGTCGTTATAGCTTCTTGGTACAAAAATGGTTTTGGAGAATTATCATTAAATTTCATGTAAATCGAAAGTAAATCATTCCACGGTCTCAAGAATTTCTGAATCAGTTAAAAAGTTCGGTTGGTGAAGCATCATGACTGACGAATGGTAAGTCACATGTCAGAATACGTCAACCTGTTATATTAAACATGTATTCTTATGTTTGCTAGTACCTGTGTACTTCTCTTTCGATGCTATTTTGATATTTCTCAATCAGACCAATATATGCCCGACAATTTAAGAAAATCTCAGTGCTAACGTAATCCCTAAAATTTTCAAGTGCGGAATTTTTCTAAAAATAGATATGGGGTTTCCTTTTTGATCGATAGAATGACTTCTTAATCTAAGGGGACATAAATGATTTTTGCATTTAATTTATTATGGTTTAGAGCATTATCCATAATACTAGTAGGTATTAATCGGCGATTTACAATCAAATAGATCGAATGTTGATCAATCTTTTCTTTCTTTTTTTCCCCCTAATCTAAATTTGTACGCTTTCTCTCGTCTGACGTTTCCATTATTGTGATGAAATAATTCTTCTATCTTATAAACACACGCCAAAGACATTGCTAACTTTGAGTTTTGTACAACGATTATCTTTAATTTAGCTGAATTCCCTGTCCAGCCAGTCATGCTTCACCGCAAGGTTCCACTGTCAAAGCACGGGTGTACTGTCCAAATTACCGACACGAGCTAGATAATTGGCATTGATATCGAGGGTTTTCCTTACATAATTTGACCTTTTGTTTCCCAAAACCAGTGGCGGATGGCAATAATATATCATACCGATGATTTCTTGTTTAATACTGTTCTCTGGTCTCTTTATAAATGTATCTTTTAGACATCTATGTGTTTTCTGTTTTTACTCCTCGGACATCTAGATGGTTGCGGTCCTGCTGTGTTGTTTACCTCCATCTTATGCCCTCTGATAGAAGTACACGTACAAAGTCTATGAATGGTGCACAAAATTTAAATGATTCTTATTTTCCGTTTTTTATATTCTAAATCAAAAATCTCAAACTTTGAACAAGTAAATTCATTTCCAGTAAACAGAATTTAAAAAAGAGCCCCATAGGCCACATCGCTGAAATCAATTAAGTATTGAAAAGTTTAAATACAAAAGTTGTCCCGACATTTGATCTCCATTGCATTGCCCTTCCCCAGGCAGATGATTTGAACACATTTTTATCTACACCACCTGAGGATGCTTCTCAATAAATTTTACTTATTATACATTACGTATACATAAATTAACGCATTCAAATCGTACACGTGTGTGTTTGTTGTGGGAGAGGGGGCTACAAAATTATCTTGACAAAATGACTGCTTGAGAACACAGTTTTCACAATTTTGTTATTTGATTTATTTTGTTCTTTTCAATATGAGAACATTAACATGATTAAGAAAAAAATCTCATAGGCCTGTCTGCAACAGGTTTGTTCTCTGATTCCAAAAATTGAGTTCTGGATTTTAATGTTCTGAAATTGGTGGAATTTGATTTTCACTTTCGAGGAACAAATTGATTTACAATTATCTACTCTTGTATTTTGTGATTGTGTTGGGCTTTTTACGCGATGTGGCCCATGGGCCTCTTGTTTTCGTCTTGTATACTGTCTTTCGTTGGATATACACTGTAGGTTCTTTCTATTGATATTCTGTCTCTTAATGGGTATACATGTACTGTCTTTCGTTGATTACACTTTCTTTCGGTGGGTACATGTATATACTGTCATTCGATGAGTATACTGTCTTTCTGTGGGTATTATTTATGGTTGATATACTTTCTTATGGAGGGCATACTTTCTTTCGATGGGTATACTGTGTTTCAGTGGGTAAGTGTGATATTGTCTTTCCATTAGTAAACTTTCAGTGGGTATACTTTCTTTCTGTGGATATACTGTCTTTTGGTGGGTATACTTTCTTTCTGTGGATATACTGTCTTTTGGTGGGTGTACTTTCTTTTGTAGGGTATAATGTCTTCCGGTGGGCATATTGTCTTTCCATTGGTAAACTGTCTTATGTCTTTTTTTGAGATTATACTGTGTTTTGGTGAGTATGCTTTCTTTCGGTGGGTTTACTGTCTTTCGATGGGTATATAATGTCTTTGTTAAAGAGAAATCATCAGAACCAGCAGCAATTTATCCTGAACAACAGTAAAAACGTCAGCAATATCAGAAATTATCAGTACCAACAGTATAATATTAGTAAATGTCAGAAATTATCAGTAGAAATTGGAACTATCAGTAAATGTTAAGCCAGTAGTGAGTGGATATTCTTAAAGTAACAATGTACATTAATGTAAGGTTCTTTTTATAATTGTATTTTAGAAGAACTTTGTTTTTAATTCTACGCCTGGAATCTAATTTATACTCGCAGTTCACTTTCATATGATGAAATTCTTCAAAATCACATTTCAGTGTTTAATACTTTTAACATTCCGGTTAACCAAGGTGAGTTCGATCTAACCTACCTATACTGGATTCCTAAAATTCATGAAAATCTTTACAAACAGAGATATATTAGCGGGTTAAGCAAATGTTATGCCAAGCTCCTATCTTTACTCCTTAAAAAAATATTTACTGTTGTATAGAATAAACTTCAGACGTACTGTTCTAAAGCAAAATTTAAAAGTGGTGTAAATCAGATGTGAATTCTCAAAAGCTCCAAAGAACTTTTAGAAAATTTAAATCGCCAAATTTTCAAAAGTCAGTAACATCAAAACGTACGACTTTCGACACTTTATACAATCCACAGGCAGCTAGCTTCTTCAATGCAAATGGAAGTCGGATTGGTCATCACCAAATTAAATTACTTTGTTAAAATCACTTTGATTCTACACACATGTACTCTGAAGTTGATCTTAAAATCATGTAGTCTTCGGAGATTAAGTCTTCCAACAAACTGTTGGAATCTCGATGGGCACTAATTGTGCTGTTATATTAGCTGACCTATTTTTTATACCCCCGCTTGAAAAGTAATGGGGATGTCTATCCGTCCGTCCGTACGTCCGTTGCGCTTTGGGGTATTCATCTCTTATCCGCAACTCCTCTTATACCACTAAATGAAATTTAAAGACTTTCACAGAGTCTTTGTTACATAGTTCCATTGTGCACCTCCTATTTTACTTTTTGATCGGACAAATATTTTGAGTTTTCCATAGCAAGACATGGACTGCCATTCATTCTGTAATATTGAGGGGTACCCATCTCTTATCTGCAACTCCTCCTATACTACTGAATAAAACTTAATTATACTTTACGGAATCTTTATTACATAATCCCATAGTACACCTCTTATTTGGACAAATATGTCGGGTTTCCCATAGCAAAACATGGATTTGCCATAATCATATGGGAGGTGGGGTATCATTTTGTTAGGTCAGTGCTCACAGTACCTCTATATTACTCTGGAAAAAAAACTGCTACGGATGTAAACACTTGCTATGGCTTTCAACTGGACATTTAGATATGTAGACGATGTATTATCAATTAAGTTAGGGTTAATGTACGAGTAGAGCTCCATTCCTTAAAAATAATGGAGTCGAGGCCCCGAAGGGGTCGTAGCCCATTGCTTTAAGGAATAAAGCGCTACGAGTATATTAACCCCCTTAAAACGAATCCACTGTTTTAGATGCTTGTAATTATTGTTTGTAAATATATAATAAAAAATACACAAAATATACACAGTAAATTTATATTTAACATATATGTAATTTTTAATATATATACACTAGGCAAAATTGCTAACGCACCACTTATTATTCTTATTTGTGAATTGACCATTTTCCTGATTGGTACTAGTATATAAAATATGCCATCTTTTCCAAAACAGTTGGATTGACAAATGTCTTGGTGTCATGTTAAGACCCTTAAAGGACCTTTTTGTCCGAAAACCAATGTCCCGACGTGCACTGCGCACCGTTTTTGCCAAGATATGAAGTTGGTGATTACCGATGGTGGTCCGTGACGTTGCGACGGGAGAAGTCTCCCACTTAAAAATGAAATGATATACCCTGATTGACTACCATATCGCTTAGTAGTCATCCAATGCCTTAATGTCCCTACCAAATCCACCCAACTTCCGGTTGCCCCAATTTTGTGGAACAATCTTGAAGTTATTGTGTGGTGCTTACTTAATGCCGTCCATATCT